GTCATCGTCATCTACCTGCGCCTCTTCATCCTCATCGGACACCAGCTCATCATTCAACGACCGTCGGCCTCGGGCTTCTCGTACACGCACACGACCTTCCACAGCAGATTCGGCAGGCAGCTACATCTGTTGGAACGCTCGCGGGCTACTCTGTCATGATGATGCCAAACGCTGGGGGAAGTTTCGGCAGCTCGTTCCCTTCATGCGTAAACAGTCGCTCATCGCTCTCCAAGAAGTGCACAGCACTCAGCTCGATCTCGAATCACACCTTGGCAAACTTCCCTACGACTATCAGGTCTTCTTCAGCGGCTTCCCTCACAACCGCGGTAAGGGCGGCATCGCTTTCTTAGTACCGACGCCCTCGATGACGACGACCTCTACTTCACTTTGGCCAGTGATTCGTGGGAGGGTTGCTGTTCTCCATGTGGCCAACCACATCACGGGCTTCGAAACGCTCATCGTGAATGTGCACAATCACGATTTGCAGACTACGGATATGGAGAGAGCGACGGAAGCGTGGCATGCTTCCCGACAGTGGGCAGCACAGAACCCTCAACAGCGGTTATTCATTGCCATGGGCGGTTTCAACACCAGCGCGGCCCCCTCCTTTAACTTCAAGGATCCATCTGCACGCTGGCGACCGATGGCACCTGATGGACAGTATCAGCGTGAACAAGCGCGTTGGCGTCAATTGTTCACCTCGCTCACGGAAGTTACGCGCGACCTGCCCACGCACTTCTCGGCCAACACGCAAGCGGCTACTGCCATAGACCGCATCTTCGTATCGCTGTCGGGCATCGATCTCATGAACGTTGACGCTCGCCTCAAGATCCACAAAGACGGCGCTGCCTTATCAGACAAAGGCCCCAGTAACCACGCGATCCTGCACCTCCTGCTGGTCAACGCTTCGGCGGCGCAGAAGGAGGAACAGGCCATTGATCCGCTCATTTTCCATGACCCCACGTACCAGCGCCATTTCAACTTCCTGAAGGACAACATCGCATCGGCAGCTCTCTCGCCAACTGGAGCCTGGAAGCAACACAAGCTCATCATCAAAGAAGCGGCTCGCCTCACTCGTAATCTTCAACAGCGAGCCACACTACATGATCAAATCCGTTGGGCGAAGCATGGGAGACTGACGTCACTACGTGCCATTGCTCGGACGGTTTGGCGAAAAGATTCAGATGCAGCTGCACTCCTCATGGCCGCGGCGGACATTGGCGCCGCTCACCTTCGCCTCACCGACAACGGGCCCGAGCTCATCAACAGGGACGAGCACATCAAGATTATGGATGCAGCCGTTACCGCTGACTACGACAGACGCGTAGCCATCGCCACAAAGCGCCAGCTGCAGTCCCACGCCGAGATGCAGATGGACCAGGCCGGCAACCGCAAGGCCGCGATGCAGCTCATGCGCCGGGCGCAGGCCTGGAACCCATTTCGTCGTCGCCTCGTACTTTCAGGACTTAGGATACCAAAGGAGGGGGCACCCGCCAATGCCCTCCCCACCACCAGCTCACCCGAGGGCATTTTCGGAGGTCTTCAGAAATGCTGGCAGCCCATCTTCTCGAGCAAGACCGTGGACCCCAACGCGGTCCAGTCGCACTTAGCCCGGCACCTCCCCGTCTTCGATTGCGCGGACCTGCGGGTTCCAGCTCTTCAGGACTTTCAGAGAGCCCTACGTAAGGTACGTCACACTGCCCCAGGCCCTGACCAGATACCTTATGCTGCATGGGCAACCTCTCCAGGCTCCTCGCAGATCTTATATGACCTCATGATGCAGATGTTCGAAACGGGCCTGGCTCCGTTTCAGTTCAACGATTCTGTCTTCGCGTTTCTTCCAAAAGGTGATGAGCCCCAGGACCAATATGCCGCATTTCGAGCTCCAGGTGCCACTCGCCCCCTCTCCCTAAAGAACTGCGACGCCAAACTGATTGCCCACGTCGTGAACATGGGCTTAGTGGATATGGTCAAAGAGAGAACGATAGACACGCAGCAGGGGTTCGTAAAGGGCCGTAATTTCGGACAACACGTTCCGACGCTAGATTCTGAAGCCCGTAGAGCAGGCCATTCCCCAGCTGCCCTAGATGCCCTTCCCATCTTAGTCAGTTTCGATATCAAAGCTGCCTTCCCATCCTTAGGATGGGAATTCCTGTTTGCCTCTTTGGTGGCTCACGGAGCCCCCCCAGGGTATCTCAATGTCATTCGGGCGCTTTACCATTCCTCAGGGGCGTGGGCCCGCGTCAATGGCCAGCTTCAGTACATGTTCGAAATCGGCTCTGGGGTGCTTCAGGGCTGTCCTCTTTCAGGATCGATCTGGGCCCTGGCGTTTGATGCCCCCATCCGTCATCTAGTCCAGATTTTAAACCGTCCTCCTGGATCCAACAAGCTCGGTGCCTGCGCAGATGATCTGGGCCTTGTCCTAGCTCGCCTTGGGTCCCTCCCTTTCCTCCTTCCCCCTTTTCGGGCCATTGCTACTCTCGCAGGACTCGAACTTCAGATTCAGAAGACAGTGATAGTGCCCTTGTGGGCCGCCTTCTCACCCGCCGTGCAATCTCTCACTCAGCGCTTGCTCCAATTTCTAGTCCCAGAGTGGCAGCGCATTCAGATGGCCGAGTATGCCCGATATTTAGGGGTACTCATCGGGCCCGCCGTCACTCTTAGACATCCAGTGGAAGGCCGCATTTGATAAATACTGGCTTCGAGTGGTGCAGCATGCGGCGAGCGCACCAGGCCCCTCAGTTGCCATCAAACTATATGTCACATGTGTTATAACTGTGCTATCGTATCTCACGCAATATTTCCCGTTCCCTGCCACATTTCTGAGGCATGAACGTAGCACGCTGCACAAAATTTTGCGTGCTCCTCCCAACTCCTGGCGCCTCGTCGACCTCCTCGGTACTCGCCCGTGGTCGCCCTCGTCCTCCCCCAATTCACTGGTCACGCTTTCGCTCGCAGCTGCATGGCGCACTGCCACTGCCACGCTCCCCGACTGGAAGCCGCTATATCGCGCGCTCGTCCTGGACCAGGACCAGCTCAATCCAGAAATGTCCCTGGCGGAGTTGGGGCAGGCCCATATTCGGGCCACGGTTTCGCCTGTGTTTTGGAAAAGCCCAGGTATCGTCGAATACTGGCGCGAACCTGCCGACGGTCAGCCGCCACATTCCGTCTCACCGCCCATCTGGCGCGCGGCACAGCGCGCCGCAGCAGACGAGCACGCCGCTGCCTCCAACGAAGCGCGCCGTTCTAGGGTCCAGCGAACCCTCGCTTCGGTCCTCCACGCCTCCCTCTACCCCGACAAGTTCGCAGAGACCCTAGCGCGCCGCCTCACGTCGGCTCTGCCAGATGTCGTGCTTCCTCCGTCCCTGTCGACTCGCTGTAAGGAGCTATCTGATTTCCTTTCGAAGAAAACACCAGCCATCCGCTGGGCTGTCTTTAAAACACTAGCGGGAGCATGGTGGACCAGCCACCGATTCCCATTTGGACCGCGCCGCACGTGTCTGCTCGGGGGCGAAGCTTGCCCAGACCGTCTCGGCCACTACCTCACCTGTCCCCGCCTTCTGCACTTCCTCGCGTTACCTCGTTCCTTTCTCTCCTCGGACCCCCTCGTGCGAATTGGCCTAGGGACTTCAGAGCAACGCGCAAACCCAGAGCACTCTATTTCAGAAGCTGTTCGCAGGACAGCCCTTTCATTTCACTTTTACAACAAACTGCGTATCATTACGCACGCCGCGCCCCGCGCCGCGCTTCTGTACACTACAGGCACCGAGTGCTTAGCTGCTGCACGGCACGCGATGCGGCCATAGACGAGACAAGCGGACACGTGGTCACTTGCCCTCTTCTTGCGTCTTGCCCGCTTGCCCTCGTCTCGTCCTTTCCTGGTACGGTCGCTCCTCCTCCGTTTCTTTTTCTTCCTTCTCCTCCGCCTTCTTACGACGACGTAGAACGAGGGCAGAACGAGGGCGGCGACGACGCACGATGACGACGACGTCCGACGACGACGACGACGTCCGGCGATGACGGCGACGCCTTCTGACGACGAAGCAAGAGATGACCGCGAGGGCCAGGTGGAAGTTGATGACACGCCTACGGCTTCGGAGCTCTGGACACGAGGGACAGACGCCCCCCCCCCCAGAAGCGCGAATCTCGACGCGAGGCAGACCTTCGCTCTGGCACGTGGGTTCCGAAGGCCGCGCACGAAGGTCCCAGCACTCTCGAGCCGCCCCCCCAAGGCTGCCCCTCGAGGGCCCCTAAGAAGAAGAAGGGACCACGAGCGCCGCGGCCCTTTCTCTTCTCTCCGTGCGCTCCTGCTCCATGTTGCCTCAGCTTCGCCCTGCCTCCCTCGTCTTCCGTCCTCCCTCCCCCCTCCGCCACTCGCTCAACTGTGTCGATGATGATGATGATGATGATGATGATGATGATGATGATGATGATGATGATGATGATGATGATGATCGCCCCCTCCCCCCTCCGCTGGAACCTAGGCGCCCGCGAAGAGCGCGCGCGATGGTGATGATGATGATGATGATGATGATGATGATGATGATGATGATGATGATGAGGATGAGGATGATGATGATGATGACGATGATGATGATGATGATGATGATGATGATGATGATGATGATGATGATGATGATGATGATGATGATGATGATGATGATGATGATGATGATCGCCCCCTCCCCCCTCCGCTGGAACCTAGGCGCCCGCGAAGAGCGCGCGCGATGGTTCTGGTGTGCAGACGAGGCCTGCCAGAAGCGGCCCTGCCTTCGAGGGCCGAAGATCTTGGCTGTCCTTCCTCGGCGGAAGGCCGGCGGAAGGCCGGCGGATGCTTCCGGTAGTGCAGCGACGCCGCTTCTGCCAGCGGAAGGCCAGGCTTGCGGAAGTCGGCGGATTTAAGCCGTGCGCCCTCAAGAGGTGGCAGCCCTTTGTGGGGTTCACACCGCCGCCTGGGGTCCAGGTGTCTAAGCCCAAGCCTCGCATGTTTCCCTTCATGCCCCCTGACGCCGACCTTCTCATTTGTATCCCCCCGCGGCTCGACAGCCCCACTTCACCATTATCACCGAGCGCGTTCTACCACTCGCAACGTGCCTACTCGCAAACGTCCGAAACAACAACTGCTGTTCGATGCAATGTAGGCTGTCTGCCCCGATGCAATGGATCCAGGCCGTATGCGAGTAGCTGCATTGCAAGCAGTGGAACGCGCTTGTCTACATTTAGGCGGCAAGCACCATTAGGCGGCGAGCCAGCGCATGCTTTTTTTAGACCTCTGCATCTCAGTGGTCGCCTCTCCTCTCAACGCAGTGCTGAGCAGAGCGCGCGCGGCGCACTCTGAGGGGCGTGCCCAGGCCTTCGGAGTAGTTCGATCTTCGGGGGCTCCTCCTGTGAGCGACGGCACTGCGCACGGTATCGGCGTGGTGCTCGAATGGAAACAAAGGGGTCAGGCATGCCCACGCAGGAGGTCGCTCCAGATCGTTCCAGAGTGTCCTCAGAGCGCCCCGAACCATTCTGCAACGGCAGCGGCGCCCGACAATGCACGACGACGATTGCACAATGCCTGTGGGGGGGGGCGGGGGGGCGTTGCGCAGCCGCACCCAGGGCGCTGATTATCTACTTGTGATCTGGGCCTGCTCGCTCACGTCGTCGTCATCGTCGTTGAGATCATGTGGTTGTCGTCTCCAAAATCTCCCCCAGCGGTTGGGAACTTTTTTTCAATCGCCTCGCCCTCCCCCCCCCGCCGGTTTGACGAAAAGTATGTCCCAGCGGGCTGAAGGGTGACATGTCCGTGCAAGTTGCCCGCTTTGGCGACTTCCCTTGAGTGGTGATCGCCTCCAGACTGGCCAAGCGACGCCGACTTTTCCGACTGGTGATTCCTCCTGTTTTTCCATTATTGTTCGCAAGTGTTCAGTGATTTAGCCGTCGGTTGTTCTGTACATGAATTTGGAACCAGCCTCCAGTAAGAACAACATGTCGATTCAGAAGTTGTGGCCAGTGCGGCAATCGGGAAGGCGAAGATGAACACATACTCTGATGTTTGATGCACCCAGTCGGAGCTGGTAGCTTCATTCGTTTGACTCAGCCATCGTCCAGCGCAAGACTGTCGGGAACGAGGTTCAGGGACAAAAAGGTTGCGGCGGCCAGATTCGTGGATTTATGTTTGAATGCTCTCGTTCGCAGTGGGTGTTCGATTATCCCATGGCTCCCGAGCTTTTAGATTACACCCCTCTTTGATGGTTTGACGGTCGTGCTCGAGGGAACTCTTCTGGAGCTTGGGGTTGGATCATACAACGCGTCCAGCCTCCACACGGCATCGTTGCTTATGGTTTCGTAGGCGCCCCAGGGGTAGAGGATGCTCTCATCACCAAAGCCCTGGGTACACTGGCGGTCAGTCGAGCTCTCTTCCTCCTTCCCCCTCCTGTGCCTCCCAGAGCCTTCGCTGTACATGCAGGAGCGTGTTTCTTTGTTGCTTGGGACATAATGGGCATCATAGTACCTGGCGTCCCCCCCCCCCCGTCCCCCCCAGTGCGCTCCGGGCACTGCCGCCGTGCGCATCGGGATCCGCATCGGCGTCCGCATAGGAGCCTGGGCCGCATTGGGAATCTCATGGGGATCCGCATAGGGATGCGCATGCGCATCCGCATACATCCCCAGGATGAAAGTTTAATCCTCTTGGGCCCAGGACGACGGCTTGAAGTCTTCAACAGACTCGCATGAGAGAACTACCGTCGGATCCCGTGAAGTTCGCGCGGATCCAATTGTGGCTTTGGCGTTTGCTTCGGTGGATCCGATGTCCATCCGCGCGGATCCGATTTCGGATTTGGTGGATCTGTGTTCGGCTTTTTTCACGGCGGATCCGATCTTTACTTCGTTTTAATTTCATAGTATTGTAATAAAACGGGGAATCGGAAGAAATCTGATCCGCGGACCCCAGAACCCGCCCGTGTTGAAATTCTATGGGGGGAAGGGGTTTCGGTCATTTTCTTCCAACTCATCATCGCCATTTGCATCTCAAGAGGAACATCTTTCGTCTTGCGTAAGTAGGGATCCGAACAGGGATCCGCGTAAGGAGCCGCATAGGGATTCGCATCGGGATTCGCATGGCACTGCGTATGGGCATCCGCATAAGCATCCGCATCGGGATCCGCATCGGGATCCGCATAAGCATCCTCATAGGGATCCGCGCATGGATCCGCATAGGGATCCGCCTTGGGATCCGCATAAGGATTCGCATAGGGACCCGCACGGATCCGTACAGGGATCCGAAATTGTTGTTTTGTGTTCTCGGTGAAAACTCTTTCTCTTCCTTCTGTTCTTCCCTCTCCTCCTCCTCTTTCTCCTCCTTCTCCTCCTCCTCCGACCCGCACGACAGGGGGGAAGGGTGAGGGAGGAGGAGAAGGAGGTGAATGAGGAGGAAGATGAGGAGGAGGAGGAGGAGGAGGTGGAGGTGGTGATGGCGGAGGAGAGGAGGGAAGAACGTCGCATTCTATCATCAGCACTTCCCTGGCGTGGCGTTTAGCTGTCCGCAGCAGATCCGCACCTACATGCTTGCTTTACCGGTCCTGTGCACGCGGATGCTGTGGTGTAGACAGGCGCTGTGGTGTGCACAGGCGCTGCGGTGCACGCAAGCATTGTGGTGTACACAGGCGCTGTTTTGCACATGGTTGTTGCGGTGTTACACATTCGCTGTGGTGTACACCAGCGCTGCGGTGCACGCAAGCACTGTGATGTACACAGGCGCTGCATCGCACACGGCTGTTGCGGTGTACGCAACCACTGTGGTGTACACGCGCGGTGTGGTGCGCGCGAGCATTGTGGTGTACACAGGCGCTGTGGGGCAGGTCGCCACCTACATGCTGATCGCGTCGTCGTCGTTGTTGTCGCTCGTTGCTCGTCGATCGTCGCTCGTCGTCGTCGTGCGCGCGGGCGCAGCTGTGGTGCCGGAGTCTCACGGCGGGCGGGGGGGCGTTACATTATACCCCCTCCCGCCCCCCCCTGTAACTCCCACTATCGCCAAACATCAAGAAACGCGCTCCAGATCCGTGTCCCCTGCCAGCGTAGAGATTCAAGACTGTTGACTCTTGCTGGGCGTATTCTCATGGAAGGCCCGTGCGCGATCGATGCGCCTCCTGGCAGGCGTGCAGCGCGAGGTATGATGCAGCCAAGGCTTGGCGCAGCAGAGTGGACAGCTCAACCATCGCACATCCTGCACTGCATCCTCCAGATCCCGCCGACCTCTCAGAGTTCCTCGCTCATCTCGTGCTGGTGTCCTCCTGTTCCCGCCGACCCCTCGGGAAGAAGGCCCGCCGGCAGCGAAGCAGCGCGGCTCGCTTCCCCTCTGCGCGCAGCGAGGGCGGCTCGGCGAGGGCGGCCGCCCTGCTGCGGGGTGCGACCTCGCAGCAGCGTGCCTCGGCATGCGATCCTGGCGTGAACCGAGCTGGGCGCAGGTCCACTGACAGCAACACGTCTGAAGGCCGCACTTTGCGCGCCTCGGTGTGAACGAAGCGTTCGAGCCGTGCTTTTTGCTGGCTACGTTTCTTCTCTTTCCGTCCACCCGTCGTCGCGGTCCTCGCCTTTCGCTCCACCTATTGTGTCATGCTTGCTCGGGTGCGCGCGGCACGAGACAAGCCAAGGGTTTGCAGGGTTGCGTCGTTGACTTGCGACATCTGGCCTCAGCAGGCGGGCTCGTCGGTGTGCGCTGGGTCAGATATGCTTGTGAAGCGACTGTCGACGGGGCCAAGCGGCTCCAGCGCGCGAGTTGTTCGGCGCGCGCTGGGTCAGATGTGGTTCTGAAGCGATCGTCGACCCGGGCACTCGACAGCTAGCCTCAGCGTGCGGATCATTAAGAGTTTGCCAGATCAGATGTGGTTCCGAAGCGACCGTCGATGGGGCACTCCAGACAGTCCTCCCAGCACCGTTCTCCTTCCGACTGTTCTCCCTCGCTCCGTCTCGTTCGTTTGCGTTTGCCACGATCCGTCGTGGTGGATGTATACGTTCACTTTTTTCATTTGGCAGCATCCGTCGCGGCTGCCTGACAAATACGCCTGTGAGGATCACATTGTTCTGGTGCACCTGCCAGAGGGACGCCAAGCAAGTGACACGGAGTCGGGGTTTGCTCCGGAATCGAGGCTGCTTCTCCGGTGTTGCTGTCAGCAGGCACGGGACAATATGGAACGTGAATGGCGTTAGGATGTGTTGTGGAGGTGAGGTGCCTCAGTATTTTAGCGAATTGCGTTGGAGTTACGATTGCGAGTGGCTTGTAGTCCGAATCGCAAGACTTGTCCTTAATTGCAGGGCTGCGAGGGGGGGGGGATGCAGTAGCAGAAGGAGGCAGAACGGAGGATGATGAGGGAGGATGAAGGACGAGGAGGAGGCGCATGAGGAAGCACAGGAGGCGGAGCGGGCGTGAGCTGACAAGACACGGGGAGGAGAAGAAGATCGAGGAAGGAGAAGGAGGGCCAGGGAAGCCGGGGGCAGAGGAGCGGCAAGGGAAACACCAGGAGGCGGAGCAGGCGCAGGCGGGAGCCAGAGCACCAGCGGAGTATCAACCAAGAGGGAGGTGGGAGAGGAGCAGCAGGCGGAGCCAGGGAACATGTAGCGAGGATAGGGGAACGAATAATGACACAAGCATGCAAACTCGGAGATCCGCGCGGATTTCTCGGATCCGCGCGGACCTCCGACTTTTTATGTTTCTGTCATTCTTCGTTCCCCTAGAGGAGGCGGAGAATGTGCCGGAGTAGGCCTAGGATGAGCAGGAGCAGCAGCATGAGCGGCCCGTGCCGCTTGGGAGGATCTCATCTGGTTTCGAGGCTTGGCCCGGGCCAGCCGACCAGGTCTTGGTTTCGGCGTGCGCGTGTGTGAAAGATCTTTCGATCGTGCTCTGGACGTCGAGCAGGAGCAGGAGCAGGGGGAATCATTCGGAGGCTTTCTGCCGCTCGTTCTCCTCCAGGAGGGGCATCGTCAACTGAAGGGCCCAGAGGCCCCCCCCCCCGAGCGCCCCTCCCCGCCCCCCAGCCCCAGAAGTGGAGGAGCCCAGAACAGAGGAAGGAGGGATACTCATGTTTCGCCAGCGCGGTCTGGACTCAGCCAAGACAGCATAGACACAGTTGTCGAGGAGAAACGTGTTGCACTGAGTGCCAGAGAGCCTCAGGATCCTCGTCACACTGACGAGTAAATATGATTTCTTGTTGGTATGTGAATGCCCTGGCGCGCATGCTCTCAGTGTCGCCGCGCCGTTTGTTCTGGCGCGCGCCCTTGCGTCTTGGGGAGGGTGGCAAACTTCCCCGTCCTACGCAGGGCTTGCCATGGGTTTGCTGCGGTGCCGGCTTCTTCTACAGTCGGGGCGCTGAAGAAGGAACCCTTTTCGTTTGGGAGGGGCTCTGTGTTCCTTAGTTGTTTTACAGTGCTCCTTGTGTGTTCCTGAGGTTTCGATGGGAAATCGAAGTTTAACTTATGGAAAAAAGGGGCCTCGTTCCTTATTTAAGGTTCCTTGGGTCAATGCCCCAACTGTACCCACTTGGGGCGCGGGGCGCAGGGCTGGCCGTGAGTTTGGCGTGGTGATCACATCGGCGTCGCCCACGTGGGCGCGTTACGAACGGTGAGCGGCGCAGCGGCGAGGTGAGCGAACGCAGGAACGAAGGGAGAGCGCTTGCCGCACGGGCGTTGGAGCCTCTCCGCTCCGGAGCTCGCCCTCGCTTGGCATCGCTCGGACGTGTGCACTTTTCCTTCGGCGAGGGCCATCGAGGCGCCTCCTTGATCGTTTGGCGAAATAGCCACGCACGAAACCGAAAAAAAAACAGGGAATGGACGTCCGAGCGAGGGCGAGCTCGAGCCCCCTGGCGAGGAGCGGGCAGGCGGCCGCCGCAGCAGCGGCAGTGAAGGGGCGGCAGCGGCAGCAGCGGCCGCGGCGGCGGCGGCGGCGGCGGCAGCGGAGCGTGCGGCAGCGGCGCCGCTGGCGGCGGCGGCTGCGGCAGCGGCGGCGGCGGCGGCGGCGGCGCAGCTGCGCCCAGCAGGGCGTCGGGCGGTGCCGGCACTGCGGTGGGCGGCGGCCTCTTGTGCGCGCAGGGCGGATCCGAAGGCCTCGCCGCGGCCCCCCGGGGCGTCGTTGTTGTCGTCGTCGTTGTCGTCGTAGTCGTCAGAGAAAGGGAAGGAGGAGGGGGAGAAGGAGCAGTGGGGGGTGGGGGCCAGCACCGTTTCACCGATCCCCACTTCCGCTCGGTCGTGGTATCTCATGCGCACCAGCCCGCCCCCCAAGCAGGGGATAGGTCCCGCGACGCCCGGAGGAGACATCACACATCTCTACCTAGAGGGGTCAGTAAGTCGGCCAGGGGGACCAAGGCCATGCCAGCGGGAACGGGGTTCGGTGAAGCGAAGCTCAGGGAGGGAGGTAGCGAGGAGGAAGGGAACGACTGCTTGGTTCGAGGTTTGACGTCGTCGTCTCGGATATTTCTGGGGAGGTTCTGGAGGTTGTCGTCGCCACGGCTTGGCCAGGATGGACATTGGGATGGGGATCGATTGAGAACGGAATTTCGAGCATGCCCGAATAGAGGGGGAATTAGGGATTGAGAAGGCAAGGGGCGGGGGGAGTAAGACAACTGCCTCGTGCAACTCCTGTCGGCTGCGCCGCCAGGCGGCACGATGAAGCCACAGAGCTCGCTAACTTTGATTGGGCAGTTTTTCTCTCTTGCCTGGTTCGAGATTGTTTTTTGGGGTCTGGCGACAGCCTGGGTTATCGGCCCCGCCGGCTCCCCCCCCCCCTCTACGCCCCGATAACCTGACCTTGTCGGGTGCGCTTGCCCGAAGGGGTACGCAGTATTGTTGCGCGCGGTCACGCGTGAGGCTGTCCAAACCGAAAAGGTCAGCTTATGGGCCAGCACCTTCCTCGCTGGAAAAACAGTGGCACGGGTGCAATGGCTCTTGCGCGTAGAGGACTGGGAAAAGGGGTTGTGGAGGAGGAGGGTGAGGGGGAGGGAGAGGAAATGAGGCAGAGGAGAAACATGGGGAGGATCATGAAGGGCCAACGAGAGGGAAGCCAAGGGCCACGGATAGAAGGAGGACTGGGGAAACAGAGGACGGCGCGGTGCTGGTGCTGCGCCGTGCCGTGCCGGAATCAATTAGTCGAGGTGGAGGGTGCACGCTGGATTGGCAGCGAGGAGGAGCTGGGCTGGCTGCGGGGGGCGAGGAGGAGAAATTGGGCTGGCTGCGGGGCGGGGGAAAGGGGGACGCGGTGCCGTGCCTTGCCGTGCCGTGCTGGAACATATTGGTCGGGGCGGAGGGGGCGCATTGGCTAGGGGGCGAGGAGGAGATGGGCTGGCTGCCAGTGGCGAGGCGGATGAGCTGGGTTGGCTGCGGGGGGGGCCTTGCCGTAACAGAAAATGGAAGTCGGGTCCGAGGGGGGCGAGGAGAGAGTGGGCTGGCTGCAAGGAACGAGGATGATGATGCTGCTGCTGCTGCTGCTGCTGCTGATGATGATGATGGATGATGATGATGATGATGATGATGATGATGATGATGATGATGATGATGATGATGATGATGATGATGATGATGATGATGATGATGCTGATGCTGATGCTGCTGATGCTGATGCTGATGCTGATGCTGATGCTGATGCTGATTCTGATGCTGATGCTGATGCTGATGTTGATGTTTAAGTTGATGTTGATGTTGATGTTGATGTTGATGTTGATGTTGATGTTGATAATCATGATGATGCTGATGATGAGGAGGAGGAGGATGAGGAGGAGGAAGAAGAAGAGGAGAAGGAGGAGGAGGAAGAACGGAGCTTGATGCAAGGGGGGGAACCTTGAGGAGGGCCTGGTGCTGGTGCCGTGACGTGCTGTGCCCAGATACAGTGGTCGGGGCAGATCCGGAGCGGGGTTGGATGTGGGGGGCGGGGAAAGGGGGATCGTGGTGCCGGTGCGGCTCTGTGCGGTGCTGGACTACAATGGTCGGGGCGGAAGGTCGCGCTGGCTTGGAGGCGAGGAGGCGTTGGGCTGGCTGCGGGGGGCGAGGGGGGGGAGGAGCTGGGCTGGCTGCGGGGCGGCGGAAGGGGGGGGGGCGGTGCTGGTGACGTGGCGGAGAAAAAAAAGTTGGGGCGCAGGGGGCGCGCTGGCTGGGGGGCGAGGAGGAGATGGGCTGGTTGCGGAGGGCGAGGAAGAGGAGCTGGGCAGGCTGCGGGGCAGGGAAAGGGGGGGCGTGGGGGCGGTGCCGTGCCGTGCCGTGGCAGAATACACCGATCGGGGCAGAAGGGGTGCGTTGGTTCGAGGGTGAGCTGGAAATGGGTCGGCTGCGGGGGGCGATGGGGAGGAGCTGGGCTGCCTGCGGGGAGGGGGGGAGGGGGCGCGGGGGCGGTGCCGTGCCGCGCCCTGCCCGCATACAGTGGTTTGGGCGAGGGGGCAAGTTGGCTGGGTGGGCGAGGAGGAGACTGGGCTGCCTGGGGGGGGGGCTGTGGCGGTGCCGTGCCGCGCCGCGCCAGAAAAACAATCGGGGCGGGGGGGGCGCGCTGGCTGGGGGGGCGAGGGTAAATTGGGCTGGCTGCGGGGATCGAGGAGGAGGATGAGGAGGAGGGGGGGGAGGAGCAGGAGGAGGAGGAGGAGTAGGAGGAGGAGGAGCACGAGGAGGAGGAGGATGCCTGCTGCTGATGATGATGATGCTGATGATGGTGATGGTGATGATGATGATGATGATGATGATGATGCTGATGATGCTGATGATGCTGATATTGATGCTGACGTTGATGTTGCTGTTGATGATGATGGTCGTGGTGGTGATGATGCTGCTTATGGTGCTTATGATGATGATGATGATGATGATGATGATGATGATGATGATGATGATGATGATGATGATGGTGATGATGATGATGATGATGATGATGATGATGATGATGATGATGTTGGCGATGATGATGCTGATGATGCTGATGATGATGCTGATGCTGAGATTGATGATGATGCTGATTATGATGATGATGATGCTGATGATGATGATGCTGATGGTGGTGATGTATATGATGATGATGCTGATGATGATGCTGCTGATGGTGATGACGCATATGATGATGATGCAGATGTTGATGCTGATGCTGGTGCGGATGATGATGCTGCTGATGATGATGATGCTGATGGTGATGATTATGATGCTGATGATGGTGACTGATGACAATGACGATGCTGCTGATGATGATGATGCGGATGCTGATGTTGATGATGATTATGATGATGATGCTGATGCTGATACTGATGATGATGATGCTGATCATGCTGATGATGATGATCATGATGATGATGATGCTGATGATGATGCTGAGGATGCTGATGATGCTGGTGATGATGGTGATGATGATGGTGCTGGTGATGATGATGCTGCTGATGATGATGATGATGATGATGCGGATGATGACGATGATGATGATGATGACGATGATGATGATGATGCTGATGATGATGATGATGATGATGGTGGTGGTTGTGGTGGTGATGATGATGATGATGATGATTATGCTTATGATGATGCTGCTGCTGATGCTGATGCTGATGCTGATGCTGATGATGATGATGATGTTGATGATGATGATGATGATGATGATGATGATGATGATGATGATGATGATGATGATGATGATGATGATGATGATGATGATGATGGAGGAGGAGGAGGAGGATGAGGATGAGGATGAGGATGAGGATAAGGATAAGGATGGGGATGAGGAGGAGGATGAGGAGGAACAGTAGGAGGAGCAGGAGGAGAAATGGGGCTGGATGCGGGGAGGGGGGGGACGCGGTGCCAGGTCGGTGCTGGAATGAATTGGTCGGGGCTGAGGGGGCGCTCTGGCTTGGAGGTAAGGAGGAGAGGATGGGCTGGCTGCCAGGGTTGTGGAGGAGGAGGAGGAGGAGGAGGAGGAGGAGGAGGAGCTGGGCTGGCTACGGGGCGGAGTAGGACGGGGGGGCCCGGTGCTGGTGCCGTGCCGTGCCGTGCTGGAACGAAGTAGTCGGGGCGGGGGGGACGCGCTGGCTTGGCCGCGGGGGGCGAAGAGGAGGAGCTGGGCTGGCGGCGGGGCGGGGGAAAGGGGTGCCCGGTGCCAGGGCCGTGCCTTCCCGTGCCGTGCCAGAATAAGAAAGTCGGTGCGGAGGGGGCGCGCTGGCTGGGAGGCAATGAGGAGATAGGCTGGCTGATGGGGCCAAGGAGAAGTTGGGTTGGCTGCGGGGGGGGGGAAGGAGGGAGAACGCGGTGGCGGTGCTGTGCCGTGCTGGGGGGCGGATGGGTCATTCTGGCCGGTCGAGGAAGAGGAGGAGGAGGAGGAGGAGGAGGAGGAGGAGGAGGAGGAGGAGGAGGAGGAGGCTGGCTGCGGGGAGTGAGGAGGAGGAGGAGGAGGCGGAGGAGGAGGAAATGGAGCTGGGCTGGCGGCGGGGGGAGGGGAGCTCGGTGCCGATGCCGTGCCGTGCCGTGCCGGCGCACAGTGGTCGGGGCGGAGGGGGCTCCCTGGCTGGTAGGGGAGGAGGCCTGCGGGAGGGCAGGGGGGGGCGGGGGGCGTTTTCTGTCTGGGGGCGAGGAGGAGCCCGGCTTGTTGCGCGAGGGGGAGCTGGGCTGGCTGCGGGGAGGGGGGGGGATTTCGGAAGTGTTCGCCAGTGCCGTGCCGGGCCGTACCGAGGTAGTAAATCCGTCGAAGCTCTAGATCGACACAGGCTCAAACTAATCCTTAAAGCAGGTTCTCTTCCAGAATCTGCCGGGTAACTTCTGGCCTCGAGCCTCGGCGGCTACAGAAGGCTCAGCAAACACGCATGCATGCACGCCTTCAGCTTCTCGCGCGGTGATGTGTTCGGCGCCGAGGGGCGCCAGGGACACCAGCTGCGTGCGGCTGCTTCGCTCGCTCCACCCCCTCGCTACCCCCCCCCCCGCGCCGTCCGCCCCGCAAGGGGGTGACAGATTCGGGCGGGTCCAGGGGGCCAAACGGACAGAGGGCTTCGGGGACGGGTCTCATCGTCTTCTCCCCCTCCGCACTTCGAGGCCAGCCTGAGCGTCCTTCGTCTTCTTCTTCTTCATCGCCTTCGCGTCCTGCCCTGCCTCGTCGGAGCGGAGCGATCGTTGCCGTCGCCCTGAAAATCCCTGGAATCGCCCGTCCTGGGCGGTGGCGCAGAGAGCTCGTCGGGGCTCGGTGTCGTCGCCCTGGAGCCCTGGGATCGTCCGCCCTGGGGGATGGCAAATCCGCAACCATAACATTTACCCTGACGCCCTCCACTGGATTGCTCCTGGGCCTCAGGACGGGTGGCGGTGTGTACATCACCACTGGGATCCAGCGACTTGATACACCGTCCCCTCTCTGAAGGTACATGCAAAGTTTTCGTCGGATGGATGTCGTTGTATTATATAGATGTATACACACAGAGTGAAATGTGTATATATATATATATCTGTATATATAGGTCCCTGAAACCACCATGAACCCTGCTTTCCTCGTGGAAGTTCCAAGAGGAAAACAGGGTCGGTGGGTCGTCGTGCTGGAGTGCGCGCGCGTGTACAAGAGGAAGATGAGAAAGAGTCAAAGAGGTAGAGACACTCGCAAGTCAAACTGTGAGAGAGTAGGAGATGTATGTCAGCTTGGGGAGGGAGCCTGTAGAGTATCGGGATGTGTGTTGAGGACGGGTGGAGTGGAGTAGACGGAAGGTGTGGAGTGGACGGGGGGTGTGGAGTAGAATGGGGTTTTCAAGTTCTGCTTGGGGAGGGAGCCTGTTGAGTATCGGGAGGTTTGTTGGAGACGGGTGGAGTGGAGCAGACGGAAGGTGTGGAGTGGACGGAGGGTGTGGAGTAGCATGGGGGTTTCAAGTTCAGCTTGGGGAGGGAGCCTGTTGAGTATCGGGAGGTGTGTTGGAGACGGGTGGAGTGGAGTAGACGGAAGGTGTGGAGTGGACGGAGGGTGTGGAGTAGCATAGATTTTCAAGTTCAACTTGGGGAGGGAGCCTGTTGAGTATCGGGAGGTGTGTTGGAGACGGGTGGAGTGGAGTAGACGGAAGGTGTGGAGTGGACGGAGGGTGTGGAGTAGAATGGGGTTTCAAGTTCTGCTTGGGGAGGGAGCCTGTTGAGTATCGGAAGGTGTGTTGGAGACGGGTGGAGTGGAGTAGACGGAAGGTGTGGAGTGGACGGAGGGTGTGGAGTAGCATGGGATTTTCAAGTTCTGCTTGGGGAGGGAGCCTGTTGAGTATCGGGAGGTGTGTTGGAGACGGGTGGAGTGGAGCAGACGGAAGGTGTGGAGTGGACGGAGGGTGTGGAGTAGCATGGGGTTTCAAGTTCAGCTTGGGGAGGGAGCCTGTTGAGTATCGGGAGGTGTGTTGGAGACGGGTGGAGTGGAGTAGACGGAAGGTGTGGAGTGGACGGAGGGTGTGGAGTAGCATAGATTTTCAAGTTCACTTGGGGAGGGAGCCTGTTGAGTATCGGAAGGTGTGTTGGAGACGGGTGGAGTGGAGTAGACGGAAGGTGTGGAGTGGACGGAGGGTGTGGAGTAGAATGGGGTTTCAAGTTCTGCTTAGGTGTGTTGGAGACGGGTGGAGTGGAGTAGACGGAAGGTGTGGAGTGCACGGAGGGTGTGGAGTAGCATGTGGGTTTTCAAGTTCAGTTTGGGGAGGGAGCCTGTTGCGTATGGGGAGGTGTGTTGGAGACGGGTGGAGTGGAGCAGACGGAAGGTGTGGAGTGGACGGAGGGTGTGGAGTAGAATGGGGGTTTCAAGTTCTGCTTGGGGAGGGAGCCTGTTGAGTATCGGGAGGTGGCGGCGGCGATGACCATGATGATGATGATCATGATAAGGATGATGAGTATCCCAGATGATGATAGTGATGATGATGATGATTATGAAGTACACAAGATAATGATGAGGTGATGGTGATGACGAGTACACATGATGGTGATGATGGTGATGACGTGGGAACGGCTTGGGGGGGCTTCTGGGGAGGTCCCGCCGGGGTTCTCCGAAAATGCAGGGAAACTATAGTAATTCATATAGGTTTTGAGGTATGAAGGGTTCATGGTGGGTTCAGCGGGCTATATATACATATGTGTAGGCATCTTCGTGGCGTGCACAGGAAGCCGTCTCTAAAGGCCACCTGGCCATCTGCGGCCGTCGGCCAGGCAGAAGGCACGCGGAGGACGCGCGGCAGCGGCAGGAGGAGCTGACGGCCTCCCTGAGGAGCGGCTCCGCAGCGGAGCCCGGGCTTGGCTCGGCGGAGGCGGCCGGTGCAGATCTAGCCCAGCGGTGGCCATTGCACGTGTCCAGCGGCTCCGTTTGCTCATGTCTACGGCGAGGCTCCCTGGCGAATGCGTGTGATCCCCGCCCCTGTGGTATTCACCCCCTCAACCTCCGCCGAGTAACGGATGGCGCCCTCTTGGTTGGGCACAAGCGGTTCTCCAGTGTACGGCTTGCCTAATTAGAGGATTGCGAGGGTCCGTGGTATCGCATGTGCATTCTCTAGCGCTGTGTTGCATTCCCTTGCGCCGTGTTGCATGTGCATCATGTTGTGTGGTTGTTGCTTTGCAGTGCATTGCAGTTTTGAGCATTGCAACACTCTGCGTTGTGTTCAATCGCTTGCTTCGCATTGCATAATCTCGCCATGCTGTTTTGAATAGCACCGCAGTGCTTTGCATGTTTCTCCAGTTTCATTGAATTGCCTTGCTTTGCAACGTGTCGCATCGATGTGCACTCGCGCTGCTCTGAGTTCAGACGCACTGCTGCGTGCAATGCAGGTTCCCCCTATGGGGGACCAGGCCCTGTGAGTCTGGGCTGGCGCATCCTGGACTCCCTGAAGGCTCTCGATACAGCCCCCTCGGGATGTCCTGGACGCCCTGGATGTCGGGAGCAGGAAGCCTACCAGTGGAAGGATACCACGACAGTGATTCTCTTCCTGGAAGTAGAGCAATCGACAGTCTCACTCGAGGGACGGGGCACGCGCGCACGTACACACCGGCTCACGCGTCGAATCGACCTCCCATCCTCCGTGGATGTCCGACCCCTCCTGACGGCCTCTGAGGCCTCCCAGCTCAGGGGCTCGAGTCCGAGCTGTCAGCGGAATCCTGCCCCCACCAAGGAGGCCGCGAGTGGAGCGGACGCCCCGCGGGGGCGGGAGGGGGGAGCGGGAGGGGGAGGAGGAGGAGGAGGAGGAGGAGGAGGAGGAGGAGGAGGAGGAGGAGGAGGAGGAGGAGGAGGAGGAGGACGAGGAGGAGGAGGGAGGAGGAGGAGGGAGGAGGAGGAGGGAGGAGGAGGGAGGAGGAGGGAGGAGGAGGAGGAGGAGGAGGAGGAGGAGGAGGAGGAGGAGGAGGAGGAGGAGGAGGAGGAGGGGAGGAGGGAGGAGGGAGGAGGGGGAAGTGGGCAGGAGAGGGTCTTCTCGGAAGGCGGCGGGACTCTCCGAGAAGCCCTCGCGCCTTCTGACAAGTGTGTGTGTGTGTGTGTGCCTCCGGGGAGGGCCTGGGCCACTGCTCAGAAGGCCCGGAGACTTCCGAGCCGTCTGAGAAGGCCCGCCCCTTCTCGCTTCCCGCCTTCGGTCGCCGCCTACAGGTACAGGCGATGGTGGCGTTGGGCTCTCTCACGCGTCGGCCCCCAGCGGCTATTCACACCACTTGCCCCCAACTCTGGGTTGCGGATCTGAGGGACCATTCGCTCCTCTGCCTCCACCGCCTGCTCCCCCCACCCTCACGGGGTGAACCTGGAGGGTCGTCTGCTCTTTCTCCTCTGGGGCTCGCTCCCATCCCTACTCCTCTCCCTACTCCTACTCCTATCCCTACTCCTACTCCTATCCCTACTCCTATCCCGCTCCCACGTCTATCCCCACTCCTATCCCTACTCATATCCCCACTCATTGTCCAGCTCCTATCCCTACGCCTATCATCACTCCTACTAGTCGCGTTCTTCGTCTAAGATGCTTGGGGCTTCCTGGTGTAATTGTCGGCCACCTCGTTATGGCGGCACACTCGTTGACAGCTCATCCTTCCTCATCCTCCCTCATTTTCATAGTGTGCGTCATATTCCGAAGGCCTGACCAACAGTCGCCCGCTGGCGACCCCCCCCCGCTGGCGACCCCCGCCGGGACCCCGGACGGGTGGATCGCGTTTCCGGCCCGGGGCAATCCTCTCCACCGCCGGCGGGACTTCCCTCGGGACCGCCGCCCCCCGGCGACCCCCCCCCCCGCACCCGCCAGGACCCCCGGGGGTGGGTGGGGCAGTTGGGGGGCCTGTTGACTCGGGGGCGGCAAGGAGGGGGGGGGGGATATCATGGCGGGTGCCATGAGAGTTCCCCCGATCTCATGGCGCCTCTTCTTATTTTATTGCGTCCCTGGTCCCCCCGCTGGGCCGCGCACATGCCGCCGGTCATGATTTGCACCCCCCCCTCTTGGACACCCCCCGCTTGGCCGCTCCCGAGTGGCCCCGGAGTGGCCCGCCCCACCACAGGCGGGGCCTCCCCCCCCCGGGGGCCCTACGCTGGCGATCCCCTCCCGGGAGCCGCCAGGATCCAGGGGGGGGGGGGGGGGGGGGTGTTCTGACCGGGGACCCCCCGCCCCCCCCCCCTCCCCCCCTCCCGCCCCCCCTCGCCACCCCCGCCCTGGGAAGGGCATCGACCCAACTACGACCTTCGTTTTCCCTGTTCATCAAGATTTCTGGACTGGCGACGACGACGACGACGACGACGACCACAGCGTCTCTCACACGCCGACCACAGCGTCTCTCACACACGCCGAAGGGTCTAAGTATTGTAGTAGTTCCTGCTGCACCTAAGTACAGTCCGTGACGTGTTCGTATTGATACGCTAATCGAGACTCGTATTCATCTCCCTTCACGTTCTGGCACATAGTCAGACTAGTAACACGCTCCTGGTGCTAAATGTGCGCGTTGTCATACGGTTGCTGTACATGCTATTCCTGCCGCTGCGCGTGCTCACACTCTAGGTAGTATTCCATGTACTACTCGTGTTCTTATTTGGTCATATCTAAGTGCGCGCGGCAAATGCGCCACCGTGCCAGCGAACCACTCTGTGTGACGACCCTTCGGGCACCACCCAGAAGGCCGTCACAGGTGACACCTCTCGTCTCCACTGGCTGAGGTAGGGGGCCCAAGATGGCCTCAAGAGGTAACAAAGTTCAAGTCTACGACGAGGAGGAGGATCGGCATGACACCAGCGCACCAGCTGCATCGTCATTTGAAAGACCTTGCAGCCAATCGATATCAGGAGCAGTGTTTCTGCATGCATCCTGTGTTTCGTTCCACAGTCGTTTGCTATAACTCTGTCCAGTTACTTCAGTACGTTATTCCCAGCTCACGCGCTACAACATTCTAGCATCCGCAAACTTTGGAAGTGTGGGCACCATCAAGCCGCATTGAATACCTCCCCAATGTCGTCTCGGTTGTCCACTTTTTGTATTTAGTTGATTGTACTTCTGATCGCTGCTAGCTCCAGACTAGAGCTCTTGATTGTGAGCCGCGGGAGAAAATACGTCTTTGAGCTGTCCCGAGCCTCAAGGGACAACAATTTTGGGAAACGTTTGGGAGGTGGGCGCGGCTAGGAATTCAGACAGTGGACATATCAGTCTCAAGGTGCCGTTGGCATGGTGGCACATCGTTTGTTCAGTGGTTGGTTGCTTCGTTTGTCTCCAGTTGCGCGTGGTACCACCATTCCCTCATCGGATTTCACTCCCTCGACCTGTCATGTGCTTCCAGCGGACGGTAGAGAGGACGGGGAGTTGCAAGAGGAGAAGTTGAAGGAAGGGACAGCAGCAGAAGCAGGAGAAGCAGCAGGAGGTGAATTCGGAGGAAGTTCGTGTGCGGCAATGTCCGCACCCAACCACACAGGAGGCTTGTCCCAGAGATCGCCGACGCCGAGTCGCTGATCCAGAGGCTCAGCTGTTGCCTCGCTGTGTGGCGGCGGGACAGACATTCAGAGGAGGATCTCTAGGCCTTCGCAGCGTCCCGGGTGCGTAAGTTGGCCTGCGCTCGATTCGTGCTTGATCTTCACAGGGGAAGTCAAGCGTGGGCACCCCAGTTTTATTTCGGGAGTTGGCGCGGTGCTGTTGAACAGGCATGGCAGATGTTACAACCCGTTTAATGTATTGCCTTAGGTTCTGGTCGAGATGTTCTTACATGTCGCGTTCGTTATCCACATGGGTGCTTGTGTGTTTGTGTGTGTGTGGTTTTTTTGTGTGTGTGTGTGTGTCGCAAGGCCCGTTCACGACACCAGCAGCTTCTTCGCACGACTCCTGCCAGGAGTCTGGGCCGCCACACTTGGCGTGAAGACCTGCACGATCTGAACACTCCGCCTGCCCGCAGTCCGCTCTCCGCACCCGCCCCGCTGCGGTGCGCCACTCGCCGTGTTGCGGCCCAACATCAGTTTACCCGTGCTGTGCGTTCGCCAGCGCCGCGACGAACAATACGCACATGTGGGGCAACATGAGCTTCGGGTGTTCAGGGTGTGCCCCGCGCTCGCATGGGGTGAACATGGTGGGTGTGTCTGGAGTATGGGAGGTGGGCGTCGCATCCTGTCGGAGGAATGATACAGCGAATCGTAGTTCGCCACGTTCGTCACCGTTGGTGCATATTTTCCGTCATTCGAGCAAGCCGGTACAGAACATACGTCCCGCCGCATTCCTTCCCGACTGTCGTTATGGGGCCTAGTCCAGACGTCGTACAGTTGGTCTTCTTCCCCTGTTCATTGGAGCGTGTTTCTTTATTGCTTGGGGCATAATTGGCATGATAGCCCCCGCCCCCCCCGCTAATCACGTAGCGCCCCTCCCCCCCAGTGTGATCCAGGCACTGCCGCCATGCGCACTCGGGTCTCCATCGGCGTCCGCATAAGAGCCTGGTCCGCATTGGGAATATCATCGGGATCCGCATAGGGAGGAGGAAGAGGAGGAGAAGGAGGAAGAGGACGAAGACGCGTCGGGGGAGGAGGAGGAGGAGGAGGAGGGCGAGGTGGAGGTGGAGGTGGAGGTGGCGGAGGAGGGGAAAAACGTCGCATTCTATTATCAGCCCTTCCCTGGCGTGGCGTTTACCTGTCCGCAGCAGATCCTCACCTACATGCTCGTTCTACCTGCCCTGTGCACGCACGCCCTGTGGCGTACACCAGCGCTGCGTGCACGCGGATGTTGTGGTATAGACAGGCGCTGTGGTGTGCACAGGCGCTACGGTGCACGCGATTGTGGTGTACACAGGCGCTGTGTTGCACATGGTTGTTGTTGTGTTACACATACGCTGTGGTGTACACCGGAGCTGTGATGCACGCAAGCACTGTGGTATACACAGGCGCTGCGTCGCACACGGCTGTTGCGGTGTACGCAGGCATTGTGGTGTACACGCGCGTTGTGGTGCACCCGCGTTGTGGTGCACGCAAGCACAGTAGTGTACACAGGCGCTGCGTCGCACACGGCTGTTGCGGCGTACACAGGCACAGTGGTGCACACGCGCGCTGTGGTGCACGCGAGCACTGTGGTGTACACAGGCGGTGTGGGCAGATCGCCACCTACATGCTGGTCGCGTCGTCGTCGTCGTCGTCGCCCGTCGCTCGTCGCTCATCGGCGTCGTGCGCGCGGGCGCGGCTGTGGTGCTAGAGCCACGCGGCGGGGCTAGTGCGTTACATTGCCCCCCCTCCCGCCCCCCCCCCTCTATAACGCCCACTATCGCCAAACATAAAAAGACGCGCTCTTGCAATGTTGCGGATTGTCCACAATACTCTTGCTTCCCGGTCCTGGCGCACCCCTATATTTAGGAAAGGCTGGGTAGAAGGGTTGCGACCTACCTACGATTAGCCGTTCATGGGCCACGACAGCCCGGATTCGGGGTCTGCCGAGGACTGTTTTGCACTCGGTGGATGTAGTTCGGTGATGTTGGAGCTGTACTATATGGCGGGTATAAAATGTGTCTTTGGCCAGCATTGTATTGGGCAGCCCTCGGCTGGTCTCGAGGTGTTTTCAGTGTGTCTGGACCGCCACAGGTTCGTGACTGTCCAGGAGACCTCTTGCTTACAGGTAACCCGCATTTTAAGGACGGGCAACATTCCGAAGGGTACCCTTGCATCCTTGCCTCTTAGGTCATCCTTGGTTACTTTCGTTGGCCGCGCCCCGCTCGAGAGGCCTCGAAATGGCCTTCCAATGCCCTTGCATCCTTCTGGCGCATCCTTTTGCTACGGGCCGACTGTATCGCATTCTCGAGCCCATTCTGGGCCAGCCGCTGGGGCGATATGGCAACAGCGTAGATATGCACCACCAGTGCTTCGCTAACGTAATCTCGGGCTGATTCGTCGGCGACGCCCTCGTGCCTTCGAGCCGTGGCGCAGCGAACATATACGCTTCCGTATGTTGGAGAGGTGTGCGGGACGCCTGCAGGTCCGATTTGGGGAAAGTGTGGTACATCCTCATGTGCCAAGCCTTCCCATCCACAGTTGTGCATTACTTGCCTCGAGTCATGTGCCCAGCCCTCCCGCACACAGTTGTGCGTTACATGCCTCGAGGAGTGTGAACCTCTGACGCCCAGGCTATTCAGGTGGCCAAGCGCACACGTATGCACGACCGACTGCTTCGGTGCATCGCTGAGCGGCACTCAGGGGCGGTATCGCGTTTGCGATGTGTTGTAACATCGGGAGGCGTCCGCAGTGCTGAATTGTGCCACCTTTGAACTACGATGCATTGTCGCAACATTGTGCCGGCGCTGCGGTTATCTCGGCTCGGCGCAGTGGAGACACCGCTGATTCTACACCGCAAACACATCTAACACAGTAGTATCCAGCCGCCCGCGGCATGTCGCGGTTTTCTGGGTGGCGATTGTTCGTTGGGGCGCGGGAGGCCGTCACGTGTGACACCTCGTGTCTCCAGGCTTGGGAGAGCCGTGATGAGGATAATGAGGTTTACGAGGGCGATGAAAGTGATGATGATGATGATGATGATGATGATGATGATGATGATGATGATGATGATGATGACGATCATGATGATGGTGATGATGTTGCTGCGGATGCTGATTATGATGCTGATGACGA